GCACAAGGACTGACCGACGACGAGAAACGTCTCGATTCAATGAAGCGGCTGAAGGCGGTGGCAGAGACGTGGACGTTCTATGTGCTGTTTATTTGTGTGTTCTTCGTTCGCTTTCTGTGACGACTCGCGATGCGACTGATTGTCTGACTCAGTCAAAGCCGGTCCCGGTAGCCACAGAAAGCAGCCATATCGTACACCATCCGTCGTTGTGACGCCGACGCTTGATACAACCGCGGCGTCGCTCCAGAAAGGATTGAAGCCGTCGAGGACGATGTCTCGAGACGATGTCAATGACTGGACCTCTTCTAGAATTCCACCATGCACTAACACGCTCCGATTCTGTTTAGGTTCTGAGGCGAGACGGGTATCAATGTGTGATAACAGGTTGGTTGGACAAGGAACACCTGCACGACCGTGACCTCCCAGCAGCTCCCGTGGAGGCTTCACACATACTCCGTCGAGCTGTTGCCACCTTCAAGGATGGCACTGATGCTGTCAGTTTGACGTCTATTCTCTCAGTGTACTCACGAGCTGATACGTACTTTCCAGTCTCGTGCAGCCGCTCTGACGTTCGATATTCTTCGGCACTTCACTGGACTCGGAGAGAAGGTCATCCAAAATCTCGAAGACCACGCCGACCATGTCGCCAATGGCTTAACACTCAATCTTATCGCACATGCTGAGTGGGACGCGTACGCGTTCTGCTTGAAGGCCACCGACGTGAGTGCGGACTTTGCTTTGTATGATCTTCTAACTGCATGATTTTTTAGGTCGAACATGAATACAAGATTCATTATTTCTCCGATGTAACAAAAGGTAGCTTAACAGGTCTGAGAGGGCTTGCGCATGTCGCGCCAGACGAGCTCGTGCGGTTCAAAGATCGCAGCGACGAGTTCCAACAGAAAAAGCGCAAGAAGCTCAACGACGAGGATGGCGCTCAACCCTCAAGTTCTACGAGGTCTGGTTCCGGGCCACAAGGTTCGTCGCAGTACGAACTCCCCAGCAAAACGTTCATCGCCATTCATGCTGCCGTCGCCGGCGTGCTGAACATGAGTGGAGCCGGCAAGTTCTTCGACGAGCTCTTGTCCAAATTTGACAAGGATGACAAGAAGAACCCTCCCGCGCGTTGCTGGGATGATCTGGAGGTAAAGGCCCTCAACTCCCACTTGGGCGAGTCGGTCCATGAAATGTTCATCAATGCTTGAGTGGGAGCGATGGTCGGCACCAACACCATCCGAGAGAGCCTCGCTCATCATCCGACCTTTCTTTCCGTTCCCGTTCTCGTGTTCGTCTCGTTGCTTTCCAATCGCTATGATATCGTATTCGCAATATATCTCCACTCTGTACACTCGGTTTTAACAAACATGAATTTCGCAAGTTTGACGTAGTGTAAGCTTGTGTTCGAAGGCATGCGATATCTCGATCTCCAGTCCACGTGGGTCCGTGATCAGGATAAGCGCCACGAAGCTCCCAGCAATAACCAAAATCGTCACCAATACCTCAGAATATCCGAGATGACTCCATGCCGCTATCTTCTTGGGGCGAACAAAGCGGTTTGCTCACAATCGCCGTCGCAGACTTGCGCTGTGCGTGGTCTTGGCTTTCCTCGAATTAGAAGAACCATATTCAGAATCGAATTGGGATGCGGGCACTTCGTCCTATCCTGACGAAACGAACCGGAGGCAGCGCGGAGTGCGGTTTTGAAGATGACGAGCAGCACGGTTGGTGCACCTCGAGGGACTCCGAGGTTCGCAGAGCGGGTGAAGGCGAAGGATAATAAGAAAGACAGGGAGAGGGAGAGGGAGTAACCGGATTCGATGCTTACCCCGTCGATTGTCGAGCCGGATGATGTGGGTGCGGATCGAGCGAGTCGGACGGTTAGCTCGAGCAGCTATGGTGAGGGCGATGGGGACGAGGATGGACGAGTACGATCCTCGGGGTGTGGGTGCGCGTGGGGATTATAAGTGAT